CTTTCTCTTTTAAATTGTGGGTTCCAAATTCTCTCCCTCCCTCTAAATCTTCCCTTTCACAAATAACAGACAAGTAATATGGTATCAAGTATAATAATGCCATAAAAATATAAAAATACAGAGTAAGACTAGGAAAACCAGGAGTTTGTGACAATAAAGATGGCATTTTTCCCATCTGAAAATTTCTCATGGACCTCAGGTGGAGAACCCCTGTCCCAGAGAGGCACCAAAGGACCACTGAGGTAGAGGGACTAGTCCAGGGCCACTCAGCCACTCTTCGCAACTCCAAACCCAGCCCTCTCTGGGCCAGACCAGAGTAACACAGACAAGATCAGCTGTTCTCTTCAGTAGCACTTTTATTAGTCATAAGAGAGACCCAAGATTCAAGAATGCTGGGAAGCTGGCTTGATTTGGAGGGTCATTCGAAGGCCAATGATCTGACTGCAAAGTCACCATGAGCTCCCACGTAGTTAATTTTGTTTGTGTTAGTGCGATTCAGGAAACTGTACACAAAGCCATCAGGTAGCTTTATCACAAAGAATTTCTCGTCATATGCTATGAAAATCTGAATGAGGAGAGGGAAGAAATTGAACAGAGAACCCTGGGCTTGGAGACAGGAAGGCCTGGCTTCAAATTCCACCCCAAGACACTTAAACAAGACCCCGTGTGATCTTGGGCAAATCACTTCTCCATTCTGAGCCTCAGTGTCATGTTCTGTAAAAGGAGGGAGTCAGTCCAGATGGTTCTGTGCAGCTTTACATCTAGGGTCCTATTATGTGTCATAAGACACTTCAGAATCTTCTGTTATTCTGTTGGGACCACAGCCCAGCCCAACTCCCTCCCACTTTAGCTCAAGGGATGCTGGGCTTCTTGCCCCTGCATTTGGCCTCCCACTGACCCCTTTCCCCTCTTGCTTTTCATCTTTTCCCATCAGAGTTTGCTTCCAGGGCTCTTCTGTCAAATGCCAGGGGGGGATGAGGTCATCTCTGGGGTCCTCCCCAGCTCTGACATGCCATGCTCTCATTCTGGGGTCTCACCTCTGTTCTGGTGCCCTGCACAAAGGGGAAGTGCTTCATCTTTTTTTCCCTCCCAAAATATTCACCACGCTTGGTGTTGAGGATGATGACTTTATGACTACCAAGGTAGTTGAAGCGTGCGTTGAAGTGCAGTGCAAAGTTATTATCATCCTCGCCGATATCTATTGTAAAGCTGGGAATTGAGAACACATCTCCATCATTGCCATGGTGAACACAGCCTTGGAAACCCACCACTCAGAGAATTCCTGAGCTAGAAGACCACCCCTCCCCAAGGGACTCTCACTCAATGCTGACCTGAAGCACCATGGCTTCTCTTCTGCATTACCCTTCCTACCCCCACCCTGTTCAGCAAGTGACCATTGTACACATTTTACTACCTCCAGAGATAGGGAGCTCACTACCTATCCAAACTGTCCATTCTAGGTACTGGGTAGCTCCTGTTAGGAAGTTTTCCCTGATGCTGAGAGTCATGGACCTGCCATCTGGGGTTGAGGCAAAACCAACTAGGTGTTTCTAATCAAGGGTCAAGGGCGATCAGGTTTGTAAAGGATTCAGCTCTCACTCATGGTTAAATTGTGTCTCATCCATCCCATGTCTCACTTACTGCTTGGCATCAGGTAATATGTCTCCCATTATTCTTACGAATGATCCGGGTTTCAGGTTCAGGTCAAAGGCAGATATTGGCTGAAGAGACTAAGCACAGCAAGGTTAGGGCTGGCTGGGAGTTGAGGAGACCCAGAGCTTCTAGTTGGGCAGGGGCCACCCTCCAGGAAGGATATAGGAAAGCAGGCTCTCCTCCAGACTAGTTAGTGCTGAAGTGAGAGTGAGTCCCAGCTCTGAGGAGGCCCTTTCATGTCTCTGGGCCTCAGTTTCCCCATCTGTTAAATGAGAAACTAGATTAGGTGATTGATCCAGTACGTTCCTCATTTTGCAGATCAAGAAACTGATGCTACAAGAAGGAAGGAGGGACCCTGTCCCAGGTCACACAAGTGAGCACAGAATCAGAACTGGAATCCAAGTTTTTGCTGGGTCCCAGGACTGTCC